GTTATTATCATCAAATCTATTAAATAAACTCATATTTACAAGTTTTAATAAATTATATTAATCTAATATCAACAATGTTCTCTACCTGTAATTCTTGTATCTGGATTAATTCCATCAACTCTAACTAACTCCTTACACCCAATATTATTATTGCTCATAAAAAATCGATCATTTTTCACACCATAATGAAGATTTCCTATAAAATGTTTGGTCATAATTAAAATTTAATATATTAGTATAAACCATACTTTATTTATTTAAAATAAATGATAGTATAAAGACATACAAAGTGAGCATGATTCCGTAAATATCTATAACATTTAATTTACCTTTGCACGCACTAACAAATTTCTACATATATGAATATAAAGTCAAAATTTGACTTTAAGGCTGAAATTATTTTCGGTTTTATTAACAACTTGCTTCAAAAATTTTTTTAAAGCAGATACATATGACAAAGAAGTTATGTATCAAATTTGGTGGCAATTGCTACATGACAAGGGTATCAAACGAGAGTATGAAGACATTCAATTCGAAATTTTATTAATAAAAAATTGTGTAGATAACCGGAAATTTTTCGGAAAATAAACTTGCCCCTTGATTTTTAGGACATGTCACACGACTAACACAAACTTTAAATGGCAATTGCGGCTGAAATTATCTAACCAAAACAATTTTTCTTTTTTTTTAAAAAAAAAGAGATTAAACTTTCGTCTTGTTAATTTAATTAAAACATCGTGTCTCAATTAACAAACTTTGAATAATTGGACGTTGGGAAGCAGATGAAAGCACCCATGACATTGCTGGTGCACTCAGTCACAAAAGTAACTCATGCAATAAAAGCATTTAAGATCAAACTACTATTGCTCCTCCTCCAAAAATTACAAATTAATTGGCTTCTTATTTAATGGGATGAGTAGGCTAATCTTGATCATGACTATTTGCAAAAATTAGTAGTTAATTTTAATGATTACTATGTAGAAAACATCCATAGCCAAATAAGGAATAATACAACTTCTTTACATTCACCTGAAGCAATAATTAATCAAGCATATCTTGATCTTCATGATCAAACATTCATAAATCAATTTAAAAAATATCATCATTATCCTTATAGTGAACCTATGTTGGAAGTTTCTTTTTATTAGACTACTTTCATTCAATTTATAATAATATTAAGCATAACAATATAGCAAAAAAGGTTAAAAATAATACTTATAAATTACCCACTTTAAATGCACACATAGATTTAAGATCCCTTCCTACTGGCTATCATACTTCTTTTCCACCAAATCCTGAATTATGTGACCATTGCAAAAAACCTTTTGAAGATGATGATGGAATAATATTAATATGTGGACATGGATACCATGCAAATTGTTATAATAAATTACATAATAGATGTGGATATTGTGAAGAGTTTTTATAAGAAGGGTGTGTTTAATAATGTTGACTCTTTTGTTAAAAGATTAGAAAAGGGAACAGATATTTTAATGGATGATGATTTAGAAGAAGAGGTAGAGGAAGAAGATGAGGAAGAAATTAATACACCAAATCCTAATTCAAATTTAAATTTAGAAAATGCACTTGAATTAGTAAAAGAATGGTGATTAAATTTTTTAAATAATAGATTTACATATAACATATTAATATACAATATACCATGTATTTTATTTTATCATTTAATTATTATTGTAGAAATAAAATACCTGTTGATTATATTTATTCATATATACATTAATTATTATTCCAATTTAATCTCTAAACATATTTGATTTAACCTGTTCTCGATGTTGAAATTAATAATTGATGATCAGAAGGAGATATGAATAAAATGGAATTTTTTTATCAATTGTGTCACAAATTAATGATCCGCATGTGACATGAACAGAACAAACTTACTTCTATTATGCTTTTTGGCTAGAGAGACCTACCTCTACCTGATGAGATAATGTTTGAAGATGAGGCAGCAGTAGTTAGAAAGGTAGAAGAACTATATTCGAAAATAATGCCTACTTTAGATCCTTTTGTTATTAATGATCGTGTGTTAGTCGCAACTATTAAGGCTTTGCTTAGCATGAATAATGTGGGTGAAACCCCTCAAGTAATTGCAGATCGCATTGCAAAATATAAGTTTGCAAATATTGGGTATATAGACGTTTATATGTGTATTAATGAATAATGTTGCTCGGCGGTTAACCGAACTCAATAATTACTTGATTTTGATATTTGATAATATAGAGGAAAGACACCCAACAATACAGTTTCAGGTCGTATTTCAATCCATTTCAAACGTGTGTCAGAAGCATTGTGTAAGAAATCGTTCGAAAGATTGTCAAATACAACTCCAGGTTATATCAGAAAAACTAAATATCGTATTTATGATCCCGATAATTATATTAAAAGATTATTAGATGGAGAAGAGGTTTTTTTTGAACAAAATATTATTGAAAGCAATAGAAAGGAAGGAGGAGGAGGGGAAGAAGAAGAACAAGTAAGAGATATTAAATTAACGAATAGAACATACAAAGTCAATAAGTTGAATCAAAGAAATCATAAACAAATAGTACAAAAATTCAAAGAGCAAAGGAAACTAATTAAAAAATATGAACCATTTATATACAATGAAGTTGTTCATAATTCAGCACAATAAGAAAATGTTTTGTTACTTTTAATTTTTATAAATAAAAATTTATTACTATTGAAACATTTAAATAAATAAATAGTATTTTTTAAAAAAATTATAAAGATGCTTATTATTAACTCATTTCTACAACAAATATAATAACTAAACAAGCAACTAAAGATAAAAGGATCAAGGCAGCTTCAAACACAACATTTCCTCTGCTAGAAGGGAAGTAACCTTTTGTCATAAGATATTGAGCAACACAGTTCAAAACAACAACAAATGTTATTCCTAATGGTTTGTTTACTTTTTGTTATTGTCCGTCTCAGAAAATAATCTGATCAATTATGCAATTGCTATAAAAAAAGTTTATAGATTTATTGATTAATTATTTAGTTATAATTTGCAAATATGATAAAAGAATACAGATCCAATTCAACATATCTATACCAATACCTATGAATAAAGAGATGTATGAGGTCTTGCAAAGAATGTCCTTTCTTTAGCTTAAAAATTTAAAGAACCTTATTGTGGTATGATTTCCTTCTCCCAAATAAAGAAAAGTTCGCCCAAATAATCATCATCGTAATACCATTTTAACCACGACGAAAAACCGGATGAACTACATCACGACCAATTTCATTACAAGGAACTTTATAACATTACTGTAATGATTGATCATTGCCAGTTAACTAGTTTTAAGGATTTTTCGTTACTTTGAGGGAGGAGGAGGGTTGTGTGATACTTTGGTAAAATCTATTCCATGTAATACGTGTTAAATGCTATTTTCAAAAGAATGACGAATTAATTTTTGAGGTGAATATTAGATTATGAATGAGTAACGTTTATTTGTGGATTTTAAAGTTATTATTTATAGCATTATCATGTGCTAAATTTTTTGGGATTGTGAATATCTTACCTATAAAGGAAATATCAATCAATACCTTTTGGTGAAGATATCTTCTATATTATATTATATACCAATAACAATGTTTAGACGCAAGGCGGGAAAAATCAAAAAAAAAAAAAAAATAGAGAGCATCATTGTTGTCACCATCAACTGTCTCACATTTGATGGATTTGCACCAAAATGTAACAACCATCGCATTCATTTATCCTACCAGTTATGTTAATTGGTACAGACAGGAGTTAATTCTCATATAAAAGGACATGCTCGTAAGGAGGTGTTAAGATGAGGGAGCAGCACAGAAGATATTGTACTATTGGAATGACTGGTGAATACCGATCCTCACAAACTTGTGTATGGTTTTTCCAACAGACTAGGCTTGCAGAATTATCAATGGCGGATAACCAGTGTCAAAGTACATGGTGAGTGTACCAACCCATCATGTATTTCATTCAAATGTGGCTATACTGTAAAGCCTTGGAATCCTTATTTGGCAACTCTGCCATTTGCTATCGCTGGTGCATCAATCAATATTGTTCTCAACTTCTCATTCCACTTTAACACCCTTCTCAAGAAACTTATACACCTACACAAACCATCAATATATACTGAACAACATTTCTTCAACACACTCTCAATATCGAAAAGATCCAATCAGAGTCAGCACTTGTTAATATTACTTAAACGCAACCATTTTCGTAATACCCAAAATTTCCTTTTTTAAAAATTAAAAGTCGAGTTTATTTATTGTACTGGTTCTTTCTTTTTCTTTTTTACGTAACGTAATAAGTTCAATTTTCAAATTGAAACTCCAATACTTTCAAATCACTATTACGAATAACTACATGATCGTAAACACCCATTGGAGTCTCCCAATAATCAAATCTGAATTTAGTTTCCTTGGCATCTGTGGCTTTGAAATCGCCTACAATATTTGTACTAAATAAATATTTATTTCAAAAAATTATCTTGATTACTTTTATGCATTTAGAGATAAGAAAGATAATATTTTTAATAAAAAAAACAATCACGGAAGAATATAAATAAAATGTTTTAATACTTTTCATAAAGTCTTGCCAAAGTTTTTTTTGATTTTTTACTTGCTTCTATCCAAAATAATAAAGATCTTTTCCGTAAATCTGTTAAAAGTTTTTCTTGATTTTTTTTATTTTTTACCAATTCATCATAGTCATCATTAATAACTTTATCAGTTTTATCATTTTTATCATCATCATTAATGTTCCCTTCCATTTTGTGTAATTCTTTTTTTGTTAAAAATAACCCAATTTTTCTGGATTTAGAAGTTTTGTGTATATTAATATAGAAATTTTCCCAAAATTTAATTTTTAATAAAAAACTTTATGTAAACATATACTATGGGAGCTACCGATAGTAAATTGGCATTTCGTAAAGGGGTTTTTAGATTATTTGAAGAACGTGTATGCTATTTAAATTATTTTAAATATGTCATTATTCTTCCTTTAAAGTTAAAAACCAAATCATTCACTTTTATCTTTTATAGAATATTGGGCCTAATGATGAATATTGGTCTCAGGTATTTTAACATACTGGATGTTTTTTCTTCTATTATAAATTTAATTAATCCTAATATTTATAATTATAATCATGCATAACATTTAAAAAGTTTTGGATACTACCAGAAACTTCTGAAGATGTCTTTTCTCTTATTGGAGCACAGGACATTAGACGCGTTAGAGATCATGCAAGAGAAAATTTGGAAACATTGATTTTAAAAGTTTGTAAATTATTATTAAGAACCGATTTAAATTAGAGTTAATTAGAATTTATATACAATGTATATATCAATTTCTTCTCGCTCTAGACTTTTGAACGAATTCTTGTAGTTGTGAGAGCACCAGATTTTCCCTCACCTCAAAACTCTATACTTCATCTTTTAAATTGTATAAGGATTCTTACCAGGATCATGCCATTTATATTTGAATCTGAAGATATGGAAGAATGGGAAGAAAATTTTTTTTGGACTGCTCAAACAAGAAAATCAAAAAAAAATCGTAAGCTAGAAGTTGTTGTTGACAATTCAATTGAAGAAACAAACAATTATGAAAGTCAAAATATCAATAATACAGATGAAAATAATGTACTGTAGTGTATATATACACATATATATATTTAAAAAAACCCCCCTCATTATATTCATCGTCGATTATTGATTTTATAGGAAAATATAAATTATACCGAATCTATAGAAACAATACCACCTTTGGGCGAACGCCTATTGTCTGTAGTGATTGAATTGTTGTTTTTAGCTGGATTTACATTACCTATCAGCCTTACTACTCAATATAGTAGAGTGATACCTGTTAATTGGTATGGATTATATAAAAAAATCAATAAATATTCTAAATTAATTAATAAAAAAAATTTTTTTTTGATTTAGGGAGACTGGAGTAGGCTCTACTATACCAGTTGGCTCTTCAAAAGAAAATGATGTCAATAAGACTGAAACATTAAGATTGCTATTAACTCTTATTTCAAGATCGATGTATATGTCAGCAGGTAATATAATGGTAATTTTTTTGATTATATACACATATTGCATCAATTTAAATATTAAATATTAAATTGTAATATATATAGCAACATTTATATCAAAAGAAAACAAATGGATAAAATATTTAGTTCTTAAAAGAGAACGCAAAGTAGTTCTAGCATTACTTTGTAGCATATTAAACACGGCAGTAAAGTATAATCCTGCTGGTTGGGGCGTTCCATATAATCATGTTATGTTTGCTGATACACGAGAAACACTTGTGGCACTTTGTTTACAGGTTTTATTAGTCCTACTGGATTATCGTTCTCCTTCAAACCGTATTAATCATAATACTAATAGTAATAACAGTAACAGTAATAATAATAATAATCAACAAATTAATACACGAGCAATATCTACAGAAACTACAAGCAGCGATAGAGATTCAATTCTCTTAAGTCCTACAACACCTACAACCACCGCAACACCTCCAACTGCTGCTGCTGCTGCTACTACTAATGAGAATGAAGCAAATAATAATAATAACAACAATAATGATAGTAATAATAATCAAAACAATTCTAATAAACAAAATTCAAACTCTTCACAAAAAGGAAATTTACCACCTAATGTTGATAATGTATTTAGACATTATACTTCAAAGTTACATAGAACACAAGATTTTCAATTTATCATGGATGGTATATACCGTATTCTCAGTAATCCGATGCAGGTATTTCTAATAAAATTCCAATCTTTAAATAAATTGATATTGGAGAGGCTTGAGTTTTAAATTTAAACCATTTCGGGGAAATTAGGCAAACAATACATATTTACCTGGTTCAACAAAACAAATACGATGTTATCAAGAAACTTTAATGCTCTGTTGGAAATTCCTTGAAATAAATAAGGTATATATAGTTGTATAGATAGATAAAGGACAGTAAAACAAATTATAGAAAATATTCAAGATTTTTTTTGTTCTATAAATTACTAAAATTGATTAAAAAATTTAGAGATTTCGTAATTACTTATTTGATACTGATAGAGTATTGGACATATTAATTGTGTTAATTTATTATGCATTAGAAAATAAAAATGATACTGGTTTGTAAAAAATTACTACTATTTACTTTTTTTTTTTTAATTTGTTGATGATTTTTAATTAATTGATTAATTAAATACAGCTCAATTAGGTTTGTTACGTATGTGTGCGTTTATTCTTCAAACATTATCATCAGATCGTGAATTTGCAATAAGGTTGAATAAAGTATTCGAGGGACATGGATCACTTCCTGGAAATGTTCGTATACCAGCATTTTATGGTACATATGCTGATTATATGATAATTGTAAGTTTTAAATCTATATATTCTGTTTAATATATTTTATTTAAAGCAATGATACATTTAACTATTAATTAATTAATTAATTAATTAATTAATTTTATTTATTATTAAAGTCAATTTATGCACTTATAGCTACTACACGTGGCGCTTTACATTCACTTTATCCAGCATTTATATTGACCATTACCAATGTATCACCTTATTTGAAGAACCTATCTGTTGTATCATCTACAAAATTAGTTCAATTATTTTCTTCGTTTACAGCACCAGGATTTTTATTATCTGAAGAAGGAAACCATCGGTTAGTCGAGTATATGTTGGAAGCTTTTAATAATATTATTCAACATCAATATGCTGGTATGTTTTATTAAATAATAATAATAGTAATAGTAATAGTAATATTATTATTATACGATTATAATGAACTATTATTCCCATTACTATACTTTATACATATAGATAACCCTAACCTTGTTTATGCTATTGTACGTAATCCCAAGAAATTTGAAGAGCTGTCACAATTTACACTTGCAAGAGGTCTAACGGAAATTAAAAAGGTTCAACTTGCAAAAGAACAACGTAAAAAGCAATCAAAAAACATTCCTAATACTGGTGATGGTAAATCAACGGATTCAACAGCAGCAGCAGCAGATAATAGAGGAGATCAAAGGGACGAAATAACACGACAATCTTTATTTTCATCAAATAATAATAATAATAATAATAATAATAATAATAATAATAATAATAATAATTTTAATAGTAATAATTTTAATAGTAATAGTGATGATATCTCATCAAGTTCTAGAAATGATGATGATTTTGATGAAACAGTAAATGAGAAAACAACAATGTTACGAATCTCTTCCCAATTTGATAATAATCAATCAGAAATGATAGAATATGAAGAGGGTCCAATGCCACCACTTTCTGAAAAGGCCCGTGGTAAACTACCAGAAGGTGTCACTGTTCCTCTTAGTCGACATCATAGCAATAATAGAACTAGTAATAATAGAACTAGTAATAATAATAATAGAAGTAGCAACAACAACAGCAGCAGCAACAACAGCAACAACAACAACAACAACAGCAGCAGCAACAACACCAACACCAACACCAATACTAACATTAATATTAATGGCAATGGCAATAATAATAGCAATAATAATAATGATGTCATAGTAGTTCCTTTCTCAGTTGGAAAGTCGGGATTTGTCCCTACTGAAGATTGGGTTTCATCTTGGCATTCTAATCTGCAAATTGGAACAATTTTACTTTTATTAAGCGAGCTGATACCCAAAGTTCAATCAATGTGCATGACACAATCAATCACAACAGATCAAGAGGTTTTAGAATATTTAAAGTCAGTAACACTTGTTGGTATCTTACCACTACCCCAACCCATATTAATTCGACAATTTCTATGGTCAGAAGCTAGTGTAGTATGGTTTTCGAGTATTTTATGGGGCCAAATTTATTTAGCTTCATCAAATCATCTAGGTGTTTTCAATGGAACACTAGTTAAATTGTTTCTTGTCAAGCCAACATCAAAAGAAGGAAGATTTAAGAATGCTATTGATAATGCTGTAGGAGGAGTTATTGACCGCCTAGTGTCTCCAATTCCAACCACAACCACAACCACAACCACATCATCAACAAATAATACATCATCAACAAATAATACATCATCAACAAATAATACATCAACAAATAATAATACTACAACCACTACAACATAATTCTATTAATGCTAATGAATTATTATTACTATTAATAATTATAATTTATAAACTATTTATTGTAAAAATTATGATTTATTTTATTTTGTTTTATTATAATAAAATCATAATACAAAACAAATAATTTATATATAAACTTTTTTTAAGCTTTTATAAATTCCAATTTTGTAGTAACTTCACCTTCACTAAAAAGACCAAGCCAAGTTGGTAATTTAACAGTTTTGTCAATTTTTCCTTTTTGAAAAACTTCATCAAGATTTATTTTTGTTTCACCAAGCTAGAGAGAGAACAAATAAAGATTATTGTTACCATCTATAATTATAATAACATCATGAGCATTCATTTATTCATTTATTTATACATACCTCATCGTCTTTTTTTGGATCTGGACCATCAGAATCGAAAACCTTAAGATGAAGAACTTTATCACGATCATTTAATTTACTAATTATAGACATGTAAAATATAGTTAATATTTTCATTATTATGAAAGAAAAATAAGATAATGATGATTACTTACAATGTAAAAGTTTCGTTCCATACTGGTTCTAAAGTACCAACTTGAGTTTTAGTTCTTTGAGGATGTTCTTTTTGAATCCAAAGTTTAACATATGGATCACCTTTATTATTTTTGGGGTAAAAAAAGTATTATTCTTAAATATAATATAAATGAATTGGTAAAGATTGATGATATGGCAATGATGATAATTACTTTTTCCTAAAATATAAATTTTTGTAGATAAAAAGAAAATTTCGATTTAGTTGAACAGTTGAACAATTTAACATGTTAATATTTTTTTAGAAAAAACGGTTAAATTATCTTTTACCTTCAGCATCTTTGTTTGTTAAACCTTTGGCTGAAACTAATCATTATTTATTTATCCGTAATTGAGAAAGAGTAAATTATTAGTTGTCAATCATTTTGAAAAATAATTAATAAATAAGATTTACCAATTGTGACTTTAAGTTCTCCTTTAGTCATTTTTATTTGATAAAGATAAAAGTTTAAATTTTTTTAAAAAAAAAGAATATATGTAGTAGAACAGGATCGTGGGATCATAATTCTTTGTATCACATTACTCTTTGTATACATGAATAAACTTGTTTTTTTTTGATATTGGGAATTTTTAAGGGTAGAGTATACGTAACACAAATTTTACTATGACATATAGATAATTTTTTGGCTGCCGATCATTAAAATATTAATGTATTAGTCGCGGGACATTGCAGATCAAGTGTCATTCAATATAAACGTTACACGAAAAAATTTATTGTCGTCCACTTCAAA